ACGGAGACGGATGGCATTTCTACCAATAAAATGGTTTTTGTTATTGGATCCACCAACAGGCTTGATCTTATTGAGCCTGCACTTTTGCGTCCCGGCCGTTTTGATCAATTGATTTATATCCCTTTGCCTGATGAAGAATCTCGCTATCAGATTTTCAAGGCTTGCCTTAGGAAATCTCCTGTTTCTGAAGATGTAGACCTAAGATCCCTTGCTAAGAACACCCAAGGCTGCAGTGGTGCTGATATTTCGGAAATATGCCAACGTGCCTGCACATATGCCATAAAAGAGGAAATTCAGAAGGTAAGCTTCTGTACTAATTTTTCATTTGTGCCAACAAAAACCCCAGTGATCCCACCCTTGCACGGTCCAGTCTTCCCAGCCTTACCACCCCCAGCACCCTAAAAATATTGGTAGTTGAATGCATATTATAAAAGCCTCTTCATATCCCCACAGAATTGGAACAATGGTGTTGTATCATGTCTGGAAAGACATGTAATAACTGTATTGGTTAAATTTGTATATATGTCCCGACTCCTTACGCCAGCGTGGTCTAATCAGAGTCCAAGACTTGTTTGTTCTGATGACACTAATTTGTGTTATATATGATCAGATTTAGTTGTAACTGAACTTCCATGAAAGTTCGTTGTGATATTTTGTATTGGTTAGTACAAAGGAGATAGCACGCAATGATAATGCCATCCCAGTAAAATCGGTCCTTTGTCATATTCTGGGAAGTCCTTACACTAAAGAAATGATAAGAAATGCAACTCAATTCTTTTATAGGCACAATGCCCTCATTTGAACCTATGTGAAACTCAAAGGACTTGTTTAGTTTAAACCCCCTTCGGAAATTCTTACTTTATTGCTTGGAAACTAAAATATTAAGGTTGAATTTTCACTTTTCATTTTGCAGGAGCGTGAGAGGGAGAGGAAGAGAAGGGAGAATCCAGAGGTTATGGAGGAGGATGTAGAAGAAGAAGAGGTTTCAGAGGTCAAGGCTGCCCATTTTGATGAATCAATGAAATATGCGCGTAGGAGTGTAAGTGATGATGTCAATGATATGTACCAGGCAGTTGTTGCAGGGGCTCTGAACTGACCATTATTGAACCTTTGTTCAACAAACACACTGACACCTTTGAATGCAACAATGGCATTTTCACTCGAGACTTTGTTATATTAAGCAATTGATTTGAACTTCTTGATAGGTTCATGGAACTTGAACTTCTTTATAATAAGTTCTTTGAACCCTAGGTTAGTGGCTTGAATTATGTCATGTTATTTCTAGTTTCTTCTTGTGAAAATCTTTTTGATAAGAATGGATCAATTTTGGAGCAAATATTAATTGACGCATTTATACATTTATTTAGAAACTGTTGTAGAGATCATTGTTTGATATGCTAGTAAAAGACCAGATTGACATGCATGTTAGTGAAAAATGCTAAACATCACGGATTATTTTTGTGATGTGGTTTCTCGAATTACATAGCAAGTGAGCAACTTTTTGATGGATGATACTGCAACTTCGTGTATTCTGAAAGTAATTTTGTCAAGATAATACATGATAGGATAGAGAAAGAAAACAATAGCAAAAAAATTATTTATTATAAAATCTAAACCCTAGCATAAAACTTTGACATACGCATCAAGGGTTATAACCTTCTTTTCAATAAGAACCATAATTTTTTCAACCATCTACATGCATGTGAATAATTTGATAAATAAATAATCAACTTGAAGTTCTTAAAGTCAGAATGAAAAAGAGAATAATTATATATATATATCTATAATAAAAGATATATATATATCTATAATAAAAGATAAAAGAAAAGAAAAGAAATTAGAGAGAAAAAACCAATTTGATTGTTCTTTCTCACTTCTCTTTTAATGGTCATTTTGCCTTTTTCCTTGGAATATGAGAACTTATTAAAAACCCAGATGCACACACACACACACATATTACATACACATATATCATCAAAATTGAGCAATGCTACACATCTGGATATTTTAATAGATGTTATACTTTCTTTCTCTTGTTGAAGTATTAACATATTTAAGTTATAGTTAAATTAAGAAAACAAGCAAATCCAAAGTTGAGTAGATGATTCTAATCATGTATGTGTATGTAATTATATATATATATATAGGCATTTGTGTTTTCTCTTACTTTTGAGCTAAGAATATTTTTTGTGAATATAGACGTGGAGTAAGGCCATTAAAAACTGTAATTTCTAAATGGAGGAGTTAAGTATAGACCAGACTTTTTGACATTGTATACGTATAGAGCAATCTACCCAGAAAAAAGGTATGAATTGAGCAGTTGTGTTTCAACCCCCATTTTTCGGATTTGACAATCTGTTTATTTATTTTCCTTTTGTACTTGAACAAATACATAAGATTGTTTCAACGGCTAGGAAATTGAACCCTCAACCTTTGATGTAAACATGTCCCATTATGCCCCAAATGAGAAGGAATTGATTAGTTGGATATGTTCTAATCAGGCTATACTTAGTTTGAGAACCTTCGATGTAAATATGTCCATTTGACATCTTGACAGAGTTATGTTCCATTACGCTCCAAATGAGATGGGATTGATTAGTTGGATATGATCTAATCAGGTTATGCTTAGTATGAGAATTAGAATCAAGATTGGTCCAACCCCAAACCCCCCATTCAATTTTTAAACTATACATAAAATGAATAATTCAATTATTTGAATTTTTGTTCTTATTCACTTTTTTTCACGATTCTTTAGATATATAACTATAAAATTAACAAAATTTATTATCATTCTTATAAATTATTTGGTTATATTTATATTTTCTAAAGAATTGATATTGAATTAATTATAGATTGTATTTAGTAATTGTTTGAAATATGCATAAAAGGAACCCTCAAATCTTCAATCTATCTCAAGTTCGGAATGAGGCAAGTTGAGACCAGTTAGGTTTGAGTAGGAATGACAATGGGGCGGGGATCTCATTCCCCATCTCCGTTTAATTTTTTCATCCCCATAATCGCTCCAAAACTCGCCAGGTTTTTCAAAACAGCCTCCATCTAGCATCATCTCCATTTATATAATCGGTTCTCCAAATTCGTCCCAAACGGGACAGGGTCTTGCCGAGATAGGGATTTTTGTTATTCCTAATATTTATATACTTAACCTATTTTATTAATATATCATAGTATATGAGAGAAATTTAATAAATTTATAATATATATGGGGTGGGGCGGGGCCACCATCTCCCGAAACTGTCCCAAAATTAGTCGTGTTTTTTAAAGCAGCCCGCATCTCCATTTCTATTTACATAATTGGTTTCCTAAAATCGTCTTCAAACGAGATAGGGAGGGGCAAGGACTCATTGGGGTGGGGATTTTTACCATCTCTAAATTTGAGAATTAATTTACCTTTATTGAACGTGTTTAGAATAAGAACGTTGTGTGTTATAGCCGCTCCATTTGCATCTCTACACTGCAAGTTTGAACAGCCAAATTAAGGCTGCAAGTAGGTCCAATTTGTATGAATCTAATAAAGCCCACAAAAAAATAAAAAGGAAATGGCCCAGGGTTGTTGCATGACCGTTGGAAAATGGTCAAACTTAAAACAGATGCTTTCTTGGTCATATATAGGAGTAAGAAGCAGTCGTGAGGTTTATTTTGATTTGTCTTTTTTTCCCTATTTCTCAAAATTGCAGTTTAGCAGAATGCTATATGAGATTTACTCTAAATGAAATTTAATACTGTATTTTAATTGTATAATACTAATATAAATTTTTTTTTTGAAATGTAAATTGTTTTTTTTTTTTTTAACATTCTTACTTCATTTACTAATTTTTTTTTTTTTTTTTTCACGTGCTACACTTTTTCTTTTTCTTTTTTCTTTTTTGGAGGTACTCTAAAAAAATAATTTATTCAATTGAAATAATTTTATTTTTGACGGTCAAAAGAGATAATTTATTCAATAATGAATTTTTTTTTTAATGTTCCAATCAAAACAGATAATTTATTCAATAAAGTTTAACTCTTTTTAGGTATTTTGTTTTTAGTCCTGTCAAAAGAGGTAATTTTTTATGGGTCCCGTCAAAAGAGATACTTTATTAAATAGAAATAATCTTTTTTTCTTGCTCAAAAGAGATAATTTAATCAGCATAAATAACTTTGATTTTGAATAAATATTTTTTTTTGACCCTATAAACAAAATATATATTTAACAGAGATAAAAAAAATTTTTATTTTTTATCAAAAGAAACTTAAAAAGTTAAAGATTAAAGACAAAGAGATAAAATTTGAAAAGACAATTATGTCATTTTTTATAGAATAACTATTTCTTTTAAGACTTTAACTTCATGAAGCCTTCCAAAAATTATTGTAGAAAATATTTTGTAGTAATCATTTAAATTGTTGTAGCGTTAATAAATGCTGAAATAGCTATGCCTCATGGAATTGGTTAACAAGAGTTTCCCTAATCGCATATAAATTTACTAAAAATGCATGCACAAAGAATACACAAAATGACAAGCTCTCGAGACATTTAAATGATTCGGACATAATGACACTCATGAGTGTAAGAGTTACCATTGCAAAATATGGTTTTTTTTTTTTTTTTTTTTGCTCTCAAGAAATATGCGGCGGATGGTTGAAAACTTGTCGTGCTTGCTTTAGAACATTAAAAGCTCTCTAAATTGACAATCATACCTTCCATGGCCCATACCACATTCCCTTATGTTGTTCCTCTTCAACTACAATACTCCCTCCCTCTTCAACAACAATACATTATCCACTGATACATGAACAAAATACCAAAACCTAATTTTTTTTCTCCCTCAAATTGGCAATTTTGCTACCAAAATTGAACTTCTATTACAAGTAGGGCTATATAAAAACATGTCAAATAATACAAAAATAATTGAAAAAGAAATCAAAAAAGAGATACAAAAAAGTTTTGCTCTCTCTAAAAAAAAAAATCCATTTGAGAAACGGAAATGCCCAATTGAAGCTAAAGAAAATTTTTTTTTTTTTTCTTTTTCTTTTTATAAACCGCCTTTGGATGACGCGTGGCCAGAATTTATTGAACTCACCCTGTCCGTATGCAAGAGGTCAATCAATCAGTCAAGTCAAGAAATCCACCTGACAATAATCTCGCGCGAAGGGTTCTCTCTCTCCTTCGAACAAGCCTTTGAACCTTGGGCTCACCATCTCCCTACGTTGAGCTTCCAGAAACTTCCAATTCTCCAAACCCTTCTTTCCTTCTTCGGCTCTGTCATTTGTTCTTCCATGGCTTCTGCATTTACTACTCTATCTATTAAACCATGCACTTGTTCGTTTACAAACAGGCTGTCTTTGTCTCATCATCTGGTTCGTTCTGCACCTTTTGTTTCTTCATACCTTCGATCTCGTATCAAACCAAGCGCTCCTCGATGGCCCTCTGTTTCTGAAACAGGTATTTTTTTTTTTTTTTTTTTTCTCCTTGAGCAAAATAACCCTAGCAATACTCTTTGGTATTTTCTTCTCAAAATTGTTGATAAGCGAAATAAGTCTCAAATTGTAACTTGCGATTTGACTAGATTACAATGTTACCCAACAACTGGTTATGAATTGATTTGATAGCTCAGATATTGTTATTCATGATATTGACCCGATTCAATATGCTCGGGAGATAATTCAACCATTGAATTTACAGGGGGAAAGATTTATCATCTCTATGGGATTAAATCCCGAGTTATTGCCAAGAAAAAATAAAAAAAATAAATAAATAAATAAATGATGATGAGATTATGGAAGTAGAAATTCTAGCATTTATTGCTATTGCACTGTTCATTCGAGTTCCTATTGCTTTTCTACTTATCATTTACATAAAAACAGTTGGTCAAAGTGATCTGAACTTGTAGTAGTATGAACTCTCAAGTCATGCCAAAAATAGAAAGTAATTAATTCCAGTCTCATGAGTTCTTTCCTTTCAACTAACAGTTTGTTGCATTTAAATTCTCTTGTTGTTACCATATTTGTCTTATTCAATGAAATTATTGTTATTGTTGGTGGTGGTGGTGCATCTTTACAGTGAGGAAGAGGGGTGACCTCCTTCCTGTAAGGGGAGCAATGGGGGGTATGAAATTCAGAGTAATTGAAGGTGATCCGCCAGAGTACTGCCTCTGTGTAGTTCCCCCGGAGGCAAGTGAGGATCGATTAGACAAGGATGGTTATGATGGTGTTGGTGGAGTCGGTCAACAGATGGCAGAGATTCGGGAGATAGTAGAGTTGCCACTGAGGCATCCACAAGTATTTCATTCAGTTGGTGTGAAGCCACCTAAAGGGATTCTCTTATATGGGCCTCCAGGATCCGGAAAGACTTCAATAGTGAGAGCTATTGCTAATGAAACTGGTGTTTCATTCTTCTGTATAAATGGACCAGAGCTTATGTCTCAATATTTCGGAGGGAGTGAAAGCAATCTCAGGAAAGTATTCGAGGAAGCACAGAAGAAGGCTCCATCGATTATCTTTATTGATGAGATTGATTCTATTGCTCCCAATCGAGAGAAAACTCGTGGGGAAGCTATTGAGAGGGTTGTTTCCCAGCTGTTAACCCTTATGGATGGTGTTAAGCGCCGCGATCATGTTGTTGTGATTGGTGCTACTAATCGTCCTAACAGCATTGACCCTGCCCTGAGAAGGTTTGGTAGATTTGATAAGGAAATTGAAATTGGTGTTCCGGATATAGTTGGGCGTCTTGAGGTTCTTCGAATCCATACGAAGAACATGAAGCTTGCTGAAAATGTAATATCAAACACCATATTTTTTAGTTTGTATCATCTTCCATTTTTATTTTTATTTTTATTTTTTATTTTTTTTATAGTAGATTATATATTGTTTTTGAACAACTTGTGCTTCTAATTTGTGTAGGTTGATTTAGAAAAAATTGCCAAAGACACGCATGGATATGTTGGTGCTGATTTAGCAGGTCTGTGCACTGAGGCTGCACTCCAATGCATCAGAGAGAAGATTGACTTGAAAAATGAGTCCATAGATGCTGAGATACTCAACTCCATGGTTGTTACGAATGAGCACTTCCAACTACAAATTGCTACGGGAAAGAGCAAGCCATCAATTCTGCGTGAAACAGTGAGGGGATTTTTATATTGTATTTTTTCTTAAGGATCAAAGATGGATCAATCAGTACATAAGGATCAAAGTGAAGGCATTCCTTCACTCTAGACATCAACACGATAAAAAAAAACACTACATCAACACGAAACAGATAAGTACCACTTCCATTATACATAAAAGAAAAAGAAAACTACATGGCAGCAACAACATCATGTAGAGAAGCTGTGAAAACCATCCTATTAAACTTAGCATTATGTGATGAAGCTAAAGTATACTGAATAAACCAATTCAGCAGTTGATTAAAAGTTTTCACCTAAACATCATCAAACTATGCCCAGATTTTCTTAGCAAATTGGCACCCCACGAATACACGATCCCTAGAAACAAGTTCAAGGCCTCACCTTATTCCAACACAGCTTTCGCCAAGGCACCAAAGGAAGATGTCATCTATATTTATCCCAAGCTTTTTAAGAAGTAAATGAACCATCATCCCACATCAGTCTATCTCCACCATTATGAATAGGCAAAATAGAAATGAACTGCTTTACATGGTACATCCCAGCTCCCAAAAAACTGAGATAACATCTACCATCTTGAATAAGAACATTCACTGTGCCCTGTCTCGAGAATGGAAAGCATCTAACCACACCATGACCAAACCTCTGCGACAAAGTAAGGCCACATCTCTGACAAGCTAATAATTGAATCTGATCCAACACTAAAATTCACATTCTGTAGCATGATTTCCCTAACTGATAGAAGCTGTTCCAAATAGCAGAACGGGGGGATGAAAGAATTGAACTCCAGTAGGAAGTGTTTCTGATGTACCTATTAGTAAACCAAGCAACCCACAGAGACTCTTTCTTCTTAATCAAGTCCCAAACCAAAGCACATGAAAATGCTTTTCTGTATATCCTCAATCTTTCTCACACCAAACCACTTTCAGCTTAAGGTAAAGAGACCTTCTTCCAACACAACAAGTGAGCTTTCTTCACCAAATCTGAATCTCCCCGAATAAATGTCTTCAATTTTCTTTCTATACCATGAGACACAACCAGCAGGTAAATGAAACACAGCACTCCAATAGGCAATCAGAAATTTTTATATTTCTTAACAAGAGTTTCAACTCATTTCTAATGTTTTGGTGAGCCAGGTTGTTGAAGTGCCCAATGTCAGTTGGGAAGATATTGGAGGCCTTGAGAATGTTAGGCAGCAGCTTCAAGAGGTAGTTGCTGCATTGCAGCGTATATATACACCTAAACCTTATATTTTTCATTTTCCCCCTCATACTCTCTCGTTATCATGTAGGCCATCCAGTATCCCATGGAGCATCCTGAAAAGTTTGAGAAGTTTGGTGTGTCAGCCTCAAAGGGAGTTCTTTTCTATGGCCCACCAGGATGTGGGAAAACTCTTCTGGCCAAGGCTGTTGCCAATGAATGTCAGGCCAACTTTATCAGTATTAAGGGTCCGGAATTGCTTACCATGTGGTATGGAGAAAGTGAGGCTAATGTTCGAAAAATATTTGAAAAGGCTCGCCAATGTGCTCCTTGCGTGCTATTCTTTGATGAGCTGGATTCAATTGCTACTAAGGTCTGTTTTAGTGCTTTCTACCCTGAGATGTTCATTTTGATATTTTTTAATCCCTGTTTACATTGTGTTTTTTTTTTTTTTTATTCCTTGTAGAAGGGGCACAATTTAGTAGATAGTGGCGCTTCTGACAGGGTTTTGAATCAACTGCTAACGGAGATGGATGGAATTTCTACCAATAAAATGGTTTTTGTTATTGGAGCCACCAACAGGCATGATCTTATTGAGCCTGCACTTTTGCGTCCTGGCCGTTTTGATCAATTGATTTATATCACCTTGCCTGATGAAGAATCTCGCTATCAGATTTTCAAGGCTTGCCTTAGGAAATCTCCTGTTTCTGAAGATGTAGACCTGGGATCCCTTGCTAAGAACACCCAAGGCTGCAGTGGTGCTGATATTATGGAAATATGCCAACGTGCTTGCAAATATGCGATAAAAGAGGAAATTCAGAAGGTAAACTTATGTACTAATATTTTTTCATCAATCCCCAGCCCCCTCTAAATATTGATAGTTGGATGCATATTATACAAGCCTCTTCAAATCCCCACATAATTGGAACAATGTTGTCGTATCATTTCTGGAAAGGCATGTAACAACTGTATTGGTTTAGTGTGTATGTATGTGCATATGTCAACGTGGTCTAATCAGAGTCTAAGACTTGTTTGTTCTGGTATCACTAATTTGTCATTTCTGGACAATGTTTATTGTGTTTGAGTTTGGCCTTTTTGCACAAAGGAGGGAGCATGCAAATGATAATGCCAGTCTTTTGTCATATTCTGGGAAGTCCTTGCACAATGCCCTCATTTGAACCTATGTGAAACTCAAAGGACTTGTTTAGTTTAAACCCTCTTCGGAAATTCTTACTTTATTGCGTGGAAACTAAAATATTTAAAGGTTGAAGTTTCACTTTTCATGTTGCAGGAGCAGCGTGAGAGGGAGAGGAAGAGAAGGGAGAATCCAGAGGCTATGGAGGAGGATGTAGAAGAAGAAGAGGTGTCAGAGGTCAAGGCTGCCCATTTTGATGAATCAATGAAATATGTGCGTAGGAGTGTAAGTGATGATGTCAATGATATGTACCAGGCAGTTGTTGCAGGGGCTCTGAACTGACCATTTCTTAACCTTTGTTCAACAAGCACACAGACACCTTTGAAGGCAACAATTGTATTAAGACTAATGTTCGTCTGATGATTACTATGTTGTTGTTACCTGCTTTTTGTGGCATTTTCACTCGAGACTTTGTTATAATAAACAATTGATTTGAACTTCTTGATAGGTTCATGGAACTTGAACTTCTTTATAATAAGTTCTTTGAACCCTAGGTTAGTGGCTTGAATTATCTCATGTTATTTCTAGTTTCTTCTTGTGAATATCTTTTTGATATGAATGGATCAATTTTGGAGCAAATATACATTCACGCATTTATACATTTATTTAGCACTTGTTGTAGAGATCATTCTTTGATATTTTAGTAAAAGATCAGATTGACATGCATGTTAGGGAAAAATGCTAAACATTGGGAATTATGTTTGTGACGTGGTATCTCGAATTAAATGGCAAATGATTTGGCAACTTTTTGATGGCTGATATTGCAATTTCGTGTATTCTGAAAATAAGTCGAGAGAATACATGATAGGACAGAGAGAAAAATTAACAAAAAAAAACTATTTATTATAAAATCCAAACCCTGGCATAAATCTTTGACATAAGCTTTAGAGGTTAGAACTTTCTTTTCAATAACAACCATAATTTTTTCAACCATCTACATGTGTAAATAATTTGATAAATAGATAATCAACTCGAATTTTTTTTTTGAAGTTCTTAAAGTGGAGAGTGTAAAAGAGAATAATTATATATATATATATATATAATAAAAGATAAAAGAAAAGAAAAGAAATTAGAGAGAAAAAGCCAATTTGATTGTTCTTTCTCACTTCTCTTTTAATGGTCAATTTGCCTAGTTTCTTGGAATATGAGAACTTATTAAAAACCGAGATGCTTACACATACATACATACATAAAATTTACATACACATATATTATCAAAATCGAGCAATGCTGCACGTCTCGAATAAAACTCCAAACATGTATCTCAAATACGATGTGGGATAATTAGAAAAAAGATATGTTTTCTATTTTAATAGATATTATATTTTCTTTCGCTCGTTGAAGTATTAACATACTTAAGTTATACTTAAATTAAGAAAGCAAATAAATTCAAAGATGAGCAGATGATTCTAATAATGTGTGTGTATGCAATTATATATATATATACACACAGGTATTTGCGTTTTCTTTTACTTTTGAGATAAGAATATTTTTTGTGAATATGGACGTGGAGTTAGGCCATTAAAAACTCTAATTTTCTAAATGGAGGAGTTAAGTATAGATCTAACCTTCTGACATTGTATATGTATAGAGCAATCTACCCAGACAAAAAAAAAAAAAAAAAAAAAAAAAGAAGGTATGAATTGAGCAGTTGTGTTTAGATTCAACCCCATTTTTTGGATTTGACAATCTGTTTATTTATTTTCCTTTTGTACTTACAAATACACAAGATTGTCACAACCGTTATATGTCCATTTGACGTCTTGACAGGGTTATGTCCCATTACGCCCCAGGATAGACTAGTTGGATATGTTCTAATCAGGTTATGCTTGGTACAAGAATTAGAGTCAAGATTGGTCCAACCCCAAACCTGCCCCATTCAATTTTTAAACTATACATAAAATGGATAATTCAATTATTTGATTATATTTAACTTTTCTAAAGAATTGATATTGAATTATTTATGGATTTAGTAATTGTTTGAAATATACATAAAAGGAACCCTCAAATCTTCAATCTATCTCGAGTTCAAAATGAGACAAGGCAAGACCAATTAGGTCTAGAGATGGCAATGGGACAGTTTGAGGAGGGGATCTCATTCCCCATCTCCGTTTAATTTTTTCACCCCCATAACCACCCCAAAACTCGCCAGGTTGATCAAATTAAGAGCCTCCATCTCCATCTCCATCCCTATCCCCATCAACATAATCAGTTCCCCAAATTTGCCCCAAACAAGAGTGGCCCCCGCCGGATGGAGATTTTTGTCATTCCTAATAAATATACTTAACCTATTTTATTAATATATCAAAGTATGTAAGAGTAATTTAATAAATTTATAATATATTTTGAGGCGGGGCGGGATGGGTAACCATCTCCCAAAACCGGTTACCCCATCCCGTCCCAAAACCCGCCTAGTTTTCCAAAACAGCTCTCATTTCCATCCCTAATTACATAATTGGTTCTTCAAAATCGCCCCCAAACGGGGTGGGACGAGCAGGGCCATGTAACGACCCGAAATTAGGAGCAATTACAAAACATGATTCGGAAATTGTACAAATAAAATTACCAAAAATAATCCCAATTACAAATCCAAAGTCCATTCATTGTCCCAAACAAACTTAAATAACCTCAAACAAACTCCTGTTGCCCTACTCTATTAAACACCAATTTTATCTGGTCACAAACAATGTCAAACAAAAATCTGCGTGGTGGTTACTAGAAATTCTTTTAAAATTCATTTTAAATTGGAACAGGACAAATGAAAATGATTTGAAAACTAGACTCAAAAAGAATACGTGACACTGCAATTCCCAGCAGCTTAAGAGACTTTGCGTCAACTAAGCTTCTCCCAATTGCACCTTCAATTCTCACAACTCAGCAAGGAGAGAGATACTGGAGAGAGGAAGAAGGAGAAACCAATAGCCATAAAAGGAGGTAGGTTTTCAAATCTTAAAATTTTTATTTTCAAATCTGGTATTCAAAAGAAAATGAAAGTTTGAAACTTCCGCTTCTCGATATTATTTGAAAATCTTGTTTTTGTTGTGAAATGCGTTTGCCAATAATCTGAAATTATTGTAACCTTAGGTTCTGTTTGATAAAACTGAAAATTTCAAGTACTGAATTTTAAGTGTTAAATATATTAATCTGTAAACTTGTCTGATATTGTATTAATTTCAAGCGCTGAATTTATTAAGATTGTTTGTTAAATGCAAAAGCTAAAATCTAAATGTTGTACATTTTTCCCTTGAATATTTTCTACACATAATATTATTATACAAGATACTATATAAAATAATGAATTTCATCAAAGAAATATATCAATTCAATAATGGATAATAATGTCAAAACGGATCATAAAAATTTCAAAATCAACATATAAAATGAATAACTTATGAAAATAAAATATTTATAAGAAGGAGATTATAATTTACGCACAAATCATTCGATTTTTATTTATATAGTAGATTGCATCATAACAATGGTGGGAGGGTTTCATTGCATGATTGTTGATTATAAACTTAAGTGAATCATGCAGTATATATATACATTATTTATATTTACATTATTTGGAAAGAAAAGTACAATGAAACATTTGAGAAATTCGAATAAACTAAAGTAAAAATCCATCGGAAAGAAATAGAAATGCAAAGTGGAAATAGAAAGTCCATCAATACGTTTAATTTCAAGAGTAGAATCAATACGTTTAATTTCAAGAGTAGAACAAGTGATGGAGAACCTAAAAATATAATATTTATGGATAACATTATCATTAATAAAATATTTTAATACCTAAAATTACTTATTATCTTCTGCGATAAGCGTTAAGCAAGTTCCACGTCACTTAAAATTTTGGTCATGTTTTAAGTTACCGTGTAATATTTTAAGTGATAACCTAAATGTTATCAAACACGCTAATTTTAAAAAAATCATGTTCTATGTTAAGCGCTAAATAGCGATATCAAACAAGCCCTTAGCCTTATTGTGGAATCTGAATAGAACACTAGGTTGGCTTTTGGACAGCTATTTTCATAATTTACTTTTACTATTTTCTTTGAAGTTTTAAGGCATTGAAATACCCAATAAATTGAACCTGTGAAAATTTATTTGATTTGATTTCGTTAACTATTGAATTAATTATGGAATTTTTTTTTAGTGGTGTAAGGTAGTACGTGGGATTACTTTTCACCCAACAGAAATCCCTCTATTTTGTAGACTAAAATAAATTCCTTTATGCAGTTTTTTTTTTTTTTTTTTTTTTTTTTTTTTTTTTTTTTCTGGAATATTGATTACAAATTTCATACTACAATCAATTGGGTTTCATTTAGTTTTGGTGTAAATCAGTTCGGGTTAGTAATTGATTTTATATGAACTTTTGGGTAAATAATATTTTTTTTTTTGCTGAAAGTTTTTTTGGAGACAACAGTAGCCTTTTTAAAACGGGCACAAATTATTCTATTTGCTGGTAGTATTTCTTTGAAGTTTTCTTTTTACAGATTTGTATTGCATATGACATTGGGTGGTTAAAGATAAAGTCATAGATTTCTTTAGTACTTTATTATATTATTATATTTGTAAGATTTGAGTTATGAAGTAGTAGTACTGATTTATGAGTAAATTTATATTTGTTAATTGTGATTACTTAGGAGAATGAAAATGTTTATGAAATTTGGCTAACGTTGCCTATTGTGATAATTGATTATGGTTTTCCAACTGTGCATATGTCAAATAGGTAGGGTAAGAGTTTTTCATAGGTTGAAAAACCTTAAATGGCCGGGCCCTAACGAGGAAGTGTTCAGGGTCCCGGGATGAGAGCCCCTTAGTCCGAAGGACGGGGCCGGTGATCCCCAAGGGTAGGTCCTTGAAGACACGTGAGAGTGCACATTATTGGACCGAGTTTGATCTCATTGTAACCGTGACGTAGTCAGAAATTAATTTCAATGGAGCAACCATTAACAATAATATGATTTTTAAAAAAATTTAAAAATTTTGAACAAAAATAAGAAGAGTAAAGGGGAGGGGCTTTTTATCAAAAAAAAATTCCTTAACCCACACAAATGCCTCCTTCACATGGGCTTTCTTTGGGAGTTAAAGGCCTAATACTACTAAGGCACTAGACTATTGCTACTTTTTATCAATTTTGATTTGTAAAATTTTTGCAGATAGGAATGCTAAAGGATAAAGGCATTTCTTTTTTTCTTTTTTTTTTTTGGACAATAAATTAAAAAATGAGGAGTCTTTTTGAATTTTGAATATTTTTCTTAAGGTCTTTTGTAAAAAATTTATGAGTTCAGTCATGATACTTGTATATTTATCAAAATTTGTATATAAAAAGTATGACAAAATATTTAATAACAAATAAGAGATCATTTATGAATTTTGATTCTTAATAACATCATGATCGTTATCACAACTTTGACAATACCACTCCACTGCAAGCATATGTTGCAACTCATTAAATTGTCATTTAATTATTTAAGAGATGAGTGTGGCAGTAAAAATCACTGTTTTGGGGAGAAACAGTGTTGGAAAATGAATTGTCATTTAACCATCAGGCCATGGGCCCATCATCTAAAGAATGGCAAACCCCACCCTGATTGATTTCTTATTTCCTAAGGCAGAAGAAGTAACCTTTGGGCCATCAAATCGTGGGGTCCACTGGCAGGACAGCCCACCATCTGATATCTGATTTTTACTTTATAAAAGTGTGGAAGTGTATTCAAAGAAAACAAAAACGACGACGTCTAACCCATGGCAGTTTTACTAGCAATTTAGCATTCAAAATAACTTGTCTCCAAAGTCATCATCATATTAGTTGTTGGCTCTTAAATTAAAGAGCGAATTGTATAGACCCTTTCTACTTTCTATGTTTTGGCATGAAACCCCCTCAAAAATTTTCTTAACATAAAACCCCCCTAACATTTTTTATTGTTGCAGCAGTGCACCCTAATGACTAAAATGCCCCTTAGAGTCTTTTTTTTTTTTAAATAATTTTCATTTTAGATTTTAAAATTTTAAAAATTACACACCATTAAAGTGATCAATAATGACAAAAAATGCCCCTTAATATAAATTTAAAAAAATTTAGATTTCTTTAAAATAATTTTCGTTTAAAGTTTTCTTTTCCTTTTTTATTTTTAAAAATAAAAATTATTAAAATCCAAGGTACTTTTTTTTTTTTTTTTTTTATAGCTGCACCATTAATTTTTATTTTTTGAAAATAATTTTTAACACTATGCCAAATGAGTTATTTTTATCAACTTTAATCTTAGAATAAAAGGCATTATTTCTTTTATATATATATATATATATATATATTAAGGGGCATTTTCGTCATTAAAGGGTAGTGTTGCAACAAACAAAGAACTTGGGGTGGTTTTATGTCCAAAAAAAATAAAAATAAAAAATGGAAGGAAGTTTTCAGCCAAAAATTGAAATGATACGGGGTTTTATGCAATTTCCCCAAAATTAAAATGTGCCATAAGCATTTGTAAACAATATAGTCTTAAAAGCATTATAACCCTTTTATTCCACCATTATTGACCCACCAGTTTCTATGGCTACACTTTTTCAAAACCCCATTTCACACCTCTTAACTATTTTCACTCTCTTTTGCTTCATCACAATTCCGTCCACCGGAGCGAATTACGGCTTCCTCAAATCAATCGTTGCGAAAAAAATCGAGCTTGGGAAAGAAAAATTAAGCCACTTTCGATTCTATTGGCACGACATCACCGCAGGCAAAAATGCTAGTGTGGTCACGGTGGTGCAACCACCCTCCAACGCATCGGCCACCTCTTTCGGGATGATTAATGTCATCGATGACCCGTTGACCGAAGGTCCCCAACTGAGCTCGAAATTGGTTGGCAGGGCTCAAGGTTTTTATACTCTGTCGTCGCAACAAGAGATTAGTCTATTAATGGCTATGAACTTCGTGTTTGTTGAAGGCAAGTATAATGGAAGCACGATCACCGTGCTAGGAAGGAACACGGTACTCAATAAGTTTAGAGAGATGCCGGTGATCGGAGGGAGTGGTCTTTTCCGACTTGCTCGCGGTTTTGCTCGGCTCAAAACTTACAAATTTGACATCAAGTCCGGTACAGCCACTGTTGAGTACAATGTCTATGTGCTGCATTATTATTAATGTTTGGCCTTTGTTTTTTCCCTTCTTGTGCTCGTGAAAAAGTTTGAATAATTAATCATTGGCTGTTGGCCACTTTCTATGTCTATTGCTCAGACCGGGTCCACCAAAAATAAATAAATACCAAACTCATCTATCAAATGTTTTTTTTTTTTTCTTGAATAATAAAATAATCACACACAATTTTGTCCACGCCGGAACTCCAGCCTCTCCCCTCCACTTGAAGATGGAGAGAGGCCAAAAGCCGTTTGGTTCATCAACATTTGATATCTTTTTTTTTTTTTTTTTCACCATTACATGAAACTCTTTTAACCACTGAACAATTAAACTTATAGCTACAAGCTAAATTTCGGATGTGGGCCGAGTGTGCTTATTACTAGAAATAAATTAATTAAATTTATTACTAGAAAATGGTCACCTCCAAACTCATCTCTCACTGTTGATGTTATAACTTATAACATGTTTTCTTTTTCTTTTTTTTCTTTTTTTTTTTTCGTGATTACATGGAACGCTTTTGGCCACCGATTCTTTGAACTTAGAACTACAAGGTAAATTCTGAATGTGGGCTGAGTGTGCTTGGCGTCCTCCACGCCAAACACATCAATTTTAAGTCTCACCTAAATTATCTTATTTTTTACCATCAACTGTAATTTAGTGGTACTTTTTTAAATTCTAAATTATAAAGTGGAGAATTTAAGTCTTGTAGGAGGAAAGCGAATGTGAGTGTGTTTCTTGCTACCCTATACATGAATTTAGAATACAAGAACGCCCGCTCTGGGAGTTGAGCACTATACTAACTAGGCCCTAGGTGAACTTAAATGTGAGGCACTTTATACACAAATATTCACACGCGTAAAAAATTTATAAGAATGCCAAAAAAAAAAAAAATGTGAAGATAATCACATAAAATATATTAATATTGAAAACACAAAAAAATAATAAAAATATACATTAATATACACATAAAGTAGTAAAATGTCATATTCAATTTCGAATTTAATCACCAAATTTTTAAAGATCCCAATTTTGAATGGGCTAACAAGAGTGTGGATTCATTTAATCAAAGAGACCTAATTAAGTTTTTTTATTTCTCCCTTTAAATGTTGAGGCTTAGGCAACCGCCTTAGTCGCCTTGGCCAAGGCCCTGCTACTAAGTAATGCTTAAGAAACCATAGTTTTTTTAAAATAAAAAAAAGAATGGATCATCATCAACCTATCTTCTCTAGTATAATTCTAATTAATCGTTTATCCATCACCCAAACACACTTAAATTTTACTTCTTCTTTTTTTATATGAGTATTTGATTATATATATATATATATATATATATATATTGTCAATGCACTTCCTTGTACTAGAAGTTGAAATTAAAGTGTGAATGAATTTGATTATCATCCAGGTGGTAAAATCATTATAGATAAGTGATATATATATATATATATATATTTGGCAAGTGTTCCTATTTCAATTGCTATAGTTAGAACATTCCCTGTAGGCAAAATGTGGTCAGACCAAGAGCCTTATAACCTAGTGATATCTCCTTTATCAATTTCTTAAAGTAAATGGTGAGGATTCGAGTCTCGAAAAAAATAAAGTAGGTGTGTGTGAATTTTTTGCCAATAACAAATAAAAAATCAAAGACTGGCGAGCCAAATGCAATAGTAGGCGTGCTCCAAATAAAAATAAAAATAAAAAAAATTAATTGCATACTCTGGTCTGGTTGGCAAGTCTTGCTAGCCATGGCCACACAAAAAGTATAGCACCTACTTCCTCTCTCTCTTTCTCTTTTTCTCGCCCTATCCCTTCCTCTAACCTCCAAAATGAGGGATCCCAAAAATAGTGTCTGTGGAGAGCCATGTCAGCTCAATGGGTTGATGTGGCTCTCCACAAATATTAATATAACTAGCCAAATATGAGAAACCAAACGCTCTGTTCTTGGTGATCTCATTTTTTTTTTTATTATTATTTGTCAAACTACACAAATTTGGAGGAATGTCACAAGTGACAATTACTATAAATATAAATGCATTCAGTGATCAAGAAAAGACGCGTGTGTAGAATTGTTAATTATTATATTGGTTAAGCTATTCATTTTTTAGCTGGGAATGGACCTTTCAGTCTTTCACAAATGGCTATATTCTGATTAATTCTAGTGGAGGATTAAATCAAATGAAAACTAGGTAAGTAACTAATAGTACTTGTTTTGTCCACTTTGTACTCTGGCATTTTCTCGCAACTAGTTTTTCGCTCTCTATTTCAGATAAGCGATTTGTTTGCCATTGAAAAACATAATAAATGCAACCTAGGTATGGATTATCTATCATACTGATTTTAGCATATTATATAAAATGATACTGAAAAATCGAATTAAGTCGTTCGTTGAAATTAATTGTATTAGTAAATTTAAAGACATATTTGATTGAGAGCATTTTAAGAAAGCTCTAAAAGATGATATTGTAGTAGTAGAGACTCATCCTTCACAATTTGCATCTGTGATGCCCTTGGGGATGCACCCAATTGATCGAATGTCTAAATATAATTAATTTTTTATTTTCAGAAATTCATACAATATGTTGTAGTGATTTGTGAATAAGCTCAGCAAACCAAAATAATAAAAGACAAGCCCATTTATTTAGTATATGATTTCCAGTCTATAATAAGCCTGAATTTTGAAATAGAGGATTTGTTGACTGAGAGTAGATCAGGTAAGCCAAGACCTCCCTCTAATTTAGGCTTCCATACCTTTTCCCATGGAACTTTGGCTTCATGCCTTAGTAGCTCTATTCCTGACCACAATAAGGGCCTGAAAATGGAATTGATTTCATTGACGACTTTGATTGGTAGACTAAAATATTAAAATGGTTTCTAATCTATATATAATTTTCTATTCAGACCAATTATTACATAGGACATGTGTTTATTGTTATTAAAACAACATAACGTCTGACTAATAATGTTGAGCCCTCAATCTCAAGGCTAAGGTGTCCAGGCTTTTCCATTTTGGAAAGGAGATAGAAGAGCTTGGTAAGAAGTTGGTAAACAGACTTAAGAAAAAAGGGAAAACATTACATATTTTTTTACTTTTGAAGTATCTTAGTTTAAAAAATTGCTCATCTCCATGCTTAGCGGATAGGGCATGCTAGATTTTACTGCAATGTTACCCCATCAGAGGCTAAAGAGCTCCAGGAACTGAGCCACCTTGTAAAACATTGGAAGGAAAAGAAGATAAATAGCACAGAGAAGAAATACAAAAAGGCTTAAAACACGCCAAGTATTGTATGCTCTCATTCCAGCCGTTAGAGCAATATCAAAATCAGTTAGTTGAATTGTACTACATTGTAGCTTTTGAGAGTGATGTTTTTGTGTACACCTACAATGGTTACATGGCTAAGGCAGTATGTGGTCATAAGATCTTTGAAATATTTGGATTTGTTGGGATAATTAACCTCCTCTCCAACCCATTCAAGCGGAAGTATCATCACATCATATCAACACAAATATATATAGAGATAATAATCACACACATGCACGCACAACACAATATTTAACATGGTTCACCCAACTCTAGGGTTACGTCGATGGGAGAGAGAGATTTCACTGTTATAAATCAAGAAAGAAAATGTACAGTCACATGTCAAAATCTCACTCACTCACTCATCTTCTCTTTTGAAACTACATGTATACACTCGGAAATTACATATACTCTTCTTTCTCCCCACAACACTCACCCTTAAACCCCTTACATCTTTTTTCTTCTCTCTTTCTAAACCTCTCACACCTATCTCTATATATAGAGTCTTCAAAACTCAATTTCTTGTTTAACTAGTATTCCTCAACTTGCATACAAGAAATTACCATATCAATCTCAACTCTAAAAAAGAAACTTAATGGGATACAATTTCCTTCGTAAATTTCAGCATTCTGAAACGGAAAAAGAAATTAATTTCTGCATACAATTTTGAGCCACAAACCCAACAAACTCCACCTTGGCTCGAAATTGGTCTTCACACACTCCTCCATAGCTCCACCTCGAATAAAGATCTTTTCATACCTCTACTTAATTGAAAATTTCTTCACCTCAAATAAAACACTATATTAAAATTGAGAAATACTCTAACAGGAATAACCATTAACCTTGACTAGTAATTGTCCATGCTAAAACCATTGCGTCATATGCATAGCATTTTAGTCACTTCGATCAACATTGAAGTTGAAGTGATACTTTAGCATGTTATAAATTGTTGCAGTATCGATAAAATGGATGAGGACTAGTTATCTTTGGAAGCTTTTTCACTAAAGGCTGAAGGACTGGAGGACCACAACCGAAACCAGTAGTTAGACATCCTCCAAGGCATCTTGCAAAACTTTCTATCATTCTATGCAAACCCTTACCTTGGTTGCATCTATGACAAAGTCTACACAAAAAACAACGGTAAGAAAGTCGATAGGAATCAGAGCTGAAGAATCAGTTTATGAAGATAGAGCTAAACATCTGAAGTGAAAGCTATCAGAGATGCGTTTTAACTCTAATACAGGACTAGACTTTTTCTTATTCATTTATTTTTTTACTTTTATATCTCATTTATTTGATTAGGGTGTCTCATTTATTTGATTAGGGTGTAGGATAGTCTAACATTCTTGAGTGTAAGTTTACAAAATTTACAGCATGTAAAATATTATACCACATACTTGCAAACAATTTTATAACGCGTACTATTATAAATGTTCATAGTTCCACCTGGTATGTGCCTCATCAAGGTCTCTCCTACCTTCAATACACAAATTGTAAAACAAGTAGTAGAACAACCCAAACAAGGCATTGTATCCTAAAGTGCTCACCCAAAACAACCATCATTACTTTAACTAAGAAAATAGTAGACAGACCCTATCAAGCCCCCCACATGTTAAAGAAGTCACAAAAGTCAGGCCAACAAACATTATATTTATTGTCATCACACCTCTTAAGTTTTTTATGAAAGATTTGGCTATGGTTGTGAATACCTTTACACAGCTGAGAGAGTCGGCGACAAAATGTCTCATTTTATACCTAACTGTGTAATTTTCCATTTCTCTATACAAATAAGTAAGAAATATTTAAATTCAATTAAAAAAATGTTGAGGATATTTTAATAAAAATATAATTAAGTAGCAGTGTTAGTGGTTTAGAGGAGCATTATATGATTTGCGGCTCTCTTTTTTTCACAATACTTAAGACATGAAACAAAATGAGGGCTGGAGTTTCCTCATATGTGTGTGTGTATATATACTTAAACCTATTTTACTAATATCTCATAATATGTTAAGGTAATTTAATAAAATTTATAGTATATTCGGAGAAGGGTAACCCTACCCCAAAATTGCCTCAAAACCCGTTGGATTTTTCAAAGTAACACCCATCCCTGTTCCCATTTACATAATCGGTTCCACAAAACCGCCCCAAACGGTGAGGGGTGGGACCGGCGAAATTTTTTGTCATTCCTAATTATATCATATACTTATTAATTTAATAAAATTTATAGTATATTCGGAGCGAGGCAATCCTACCCCAAAACTGTTCCAAAACTCGCTGAATTTTTCAAAGTAGCACCCATCCCTATCCCCATCTACATAATCGGTTCCACAAAATTGCCCCAAACAGTGTGGGGTGAGACGGGTGAAAATTTTTGGCATTCCTAATTGTATTCAAAGTACATTACATTGTAAGTAACTAGTGCACTATTCTTTCTTTTTTTTATTTCAGGTATCCGCTTTATTGTGTGCCTATCTAATCCGGAAATTCATTTTGAGCGGACGTCAAAGAGAAGGGAGTTTATGTGGAACAAGATATTCCTCCTATTTGTTGTCTGAGAGGTCGGTTCAATAGACTTGTTGAACGATGGAGATCAATATTTATATGAAATTGATATTTATGCATAGTGGTAAAATTAACATGCAATCACAAGCTGTAATCCTCACTATATACATATAGCTTTCCAAATTCTCCTCCTTAATATTGTAATGGTAAGTTGTAACCCTAACCATATATATATATAATATACTCCCCCTCTTTCCAAGTGATAGATAGAATGAATTACAATCAATGGCCAAGATATAGCTTCTAGAAAGTATTTTCATATTTACCAACTAAATTCTATTCTTTTAGAATTATAAGTCTCCAATATTATAAAATTTCCAATCCCTCCTTACAACACTCCGCAATTTTCTACAATGTCATTTGTTGATGATTAAATTTTGAAAATTGTATGTGATTTAATCAATGGGCAGGCAAATATGTTGGGAAAAAATTAATGAGAATGAATTGTTATAATAACTCTCTAATATCCTCCATATATAATTAAAAATAATAATAAAAAAACAAAAACAAAAACAAAAAAGCAATTATTTATGCTTCCTTAAGTGTTTTTATGATACTATTAATTAATATCTTACCATATACCCATTAAATTTATGTTGTTTAAGATATTTTTACACTTAAAATAACACGAGTAGCATTTTGGTTGGCTAACAGCATTAGGTGTTTTACACTGGATGGATGTTGATTCCACACTGTAAAAAAAGTATAACTTACCTTATACCCATTAAAATTATGTTGTTTAAGATATGTTTACACTTAAAATAACACGAGTAGCATTTTGGTCGGCTAACAGCATTAGGTGTGTAACACTAGATGGATGTTGATTCTACACTTTAAAGAAAGCATAGAGTCCTGTGTCAGCAACTGTGTTGCCGCAACTCTCCTCATCCTTTGGAGAGTCTTCTTCTTCACATCATTCTCTCACATTCTTCACTCTTATTATTTTTAAAATTTGTCTCACCCACCACGTTGCACCATCACTTTATTTTTAAAAATAAAAATACATAAGTACGAGGGTCAAAAATTAATGTTGGCCTGTCTACACTCAATTCTTGGCAAAGGAAAATGGTTGTATAATTTGGTGTGGCCCCCATCAAGTATAGAAGTACACACCAAACAATATCATTATCCACAACCCAAGCCAATCGTCATTTTAACTTGAGTTGTGGACACTTTAATTATTCATATAATCTTTCTGTTGTAATTTTTTAATGTAGAAAATTTAGCTCATTAAATTCAAATATTAGTGTGCTTCTAATTTTAATTTGATGTCATACGGAGTACTTTTAAACTTGTTGATATGATTCATATTGAGCACGTTATATCTAAAATTCTAAATAGTAATGTAAATATGGTCTATGCCAAATAAACTAAAATCCTTGCAATTTACATGCAACAAACGTATATATTAAACACTATATATATACACAACAAAGTCCAAACAGTAATAGGTTGTCTACCTACTAATTTAATCATGGTAATACAAATGCATAAAACTACCACAAATGTTCAACAGATACGTACAGAAAAAATAAATAGACGATAAAAGAACAAACAAATATTGAAAATTCTTTCTTCATCCCATCTAATGGACTTTGTCTCCTTTTAAATGCACTTCAAATATTGAAAATTTGCAAACAAGTTACACCAACTAAACTCTTAATATAATTGTGTGGTTTTTAAGTTTTACCGTACAAAATGTAAAGGATTATCTATCAATTGCTCAAAAAATAACCTAGCATTGTAAAAAAAAAAAAAAAATTTGGTTTAATCCCAATTATTGGTCCAATGAGACAACAAGTCGAAAGATAGAAGTGTAATAATCAATGGTGCATTACTTAAATTTCATGTAGTATTTAATAATTCATAAAAGATTGTTGTAAAAAAAGATTAGAAATATAAATTGCGGACATTAAGGGTTCTTTTTGGCGACATATATTTGTGTTTTTTATTATTAAAAAAAAAAAAAAATTCTTATTACGATTGTTTAACTACAGTAACAAAAACAAGTGAAAATGACTAATTTTTTACTTCATATTTGAGTCTTTTCTACAAACATGTGCATTATTGTACAAGCTAACATGAGTTTTTGGAAACTTTTTCTTTTTTTTTAATCTTTTTCACCAATTTGTCAACAAAAAAAACATTGCTAAAACAAGTTCTAGACGTTTAAAATTTAAGTAATAAATTTAAAGAATAAGAGGGAAAAGTGAGAGAAAAGAAGGTTTGCACATGCTGCCAAATTTCTCATAGAATTCAACGTTTGATAAGTTTTAAATTAACTGGAACAATTTGATAAAGTATACTGAATACAAGTCTGCTCCTACGAGTAATCGACTAAGTTACTCATCGTTATTACTAATTTATATGTTAGTATATGAATTATTAAAATAAGGAAACAAAAGTAACAAATTTACTCTAGTACTTATTAGAATACCTTCACCCTTATTTACTCAGTCTTATGTTATTTAGTATCATACTTATTACAATACAATATACCCTCTTTTTATTAACTTTCAACTTGTTACAAACTAGACACTTACCTATATATAGACATCTCCACCCTAATGAACATGGAGTATTATCATCAAGGCTTAATATTTAGTTTCTAAAACTATCCACATAAATATCTACTATTTATCATTCAAAATTCTTCTGACATCTCCAATTTACTAATTTTTTAGATATTTTTCTATATTGTAGAATCTTCATCTCTCTATAACAATCCATATTTTTTTTTATAATTTATAGCAAGTATAAGAGAAGAGATATAATATATGTATTATTGCATTTTTATTCATCAATGTAACAATTCGTATTTTCTCATAATTTTTAAACAATAATAAGAGAGGAGAAATAACATATGTATTGTTGAATTTTTAATGACAAATTTTAGTTTTTTAAAAATATATATATATATTATACATAAAAAAAATATAACAACACGAAAGAAAAAGAGAACACGGCATTGTCCCTTAAAAATTGGTCTCCATCTTAACCAATCTTTTAAGTATATATCCAACCTCTCACTGCTAGTATATCCCTTTGTTGTTCCATAAACGGTCTGTTAAAGAGATTCTCAATTCAAGAAAAGGGTTAAAACTTGTGATATATCTATGTACAGAGATATAATATTAATTACAAAATTTAGAAAGAAATAATAATAATAAGGCCCGCCTAAGTCTCATATTTATTCCTTCACCATCCGATCACCCCTTCATCAATGACTAAATTCTCTTCATAAATTAGCACGAAAATAGAAAATATCAATGAAATAAAAAATTAAAATTAAAACAAAATATAAAGACAAGATAAAAATCATTTATCATTTTTCATTATTATTAGGCCAAAGTGCCCGTAGGAATAATAATAATAATAATAATAATAAAGCTTGCCTAAGGTAATATTTGATGAAATTAAAAATCAAGTACTAAAAATTTTAAGAATTGAATTTGAACTACAGAATATTTTAGGTGATTCTTAAAAATAAATATTTTTTTTTTATATTTTTAACTTTAAGTGATAAGTGATGTCCCTATCTTTTAAAATTTTACCTATCACCCCTTCATCAATGACTAAATTCTTTTAATAAAATAGGGAATAAAACAGCAGAAAAATAGAAAATATCATAAGAAAATAAAAATTAAAAATTAAAACAATATATAAAGAAATGGCTAACAAAACAATTGACATTACGCCTTTAAAGGAGTGCCCGTGATCTTACTCAGCTCATATTTAACTAACTCTAATTAGAGCATGATGACATCAGCCCTTGCATATAATAAGTTGGACACTCCTATCAGTACTCATTTTTGTTGCTTGCAAATTGAGTCGAGGGAGGGAGAAAGCTAAGGGGAGAGGGGATCACATTCTCATAGACGTGATCAACGAAATGTCAATATATCCCCATAATTGAAAAAGGACTTACAAAAAAACCTAAAACTCGAAATAGTATTAAATGCTGACTGGGTCTAAAATTTAATTAAACGTTTATCCCTCAACTTATGGTTAGAAGAATGGCTCGTGCTATGTCTTCTCTTCCAAAAAATACAACACATCAATCTAAACAATGAGACTAGAACTCCAGTATAACAAGATGAAGACCAGGACTTGCCATTCAAGTCAATAAATTCCACAATGTTTGCTTTCGGATCCAAAGAGACGTCCAAGTCATGCCAACACGGTGCCAGCTAATTTAAAAGGGCATTCGACCAGCAAGCCTGCTTTCCGATATCCTTCTGTCAATGGCTGCATCAATTGAGCTCATCTGTAACACGGAACCGCACACATGAAAAATTAGAACAGGAACACGGCCACCAATAACATGGAAGAACCTTTTAAAGATTAGAGCTTGCTTCTACGCAAAAGATACCAAAACTATACAGAAGAAGCTGACCTGGGCAACGTTTGTATTCACTGTTCGATCATAAAAACATATTGCAATGACGATACGAATGGACAAAACTGTGTTGGGTATATTCTCATTCCAACCAAACCCCAACATCTCATAATCAACATAGAAAGAATATACATGAATAAATAATAAACATTTCTCAAGAGCAAATACATACGCTCCTTTCCTAACGGAGGATGATGCTAGTTTCGCGAATCCTTAGAATTGATCGCTGGGAGCTTGTCAGAAATGAAATTACTAACTACCAGCAAAGATGGTGTAAATACCTACTTGAATATTTTGATGACCATGATTGGTGGGATTGCTTGCCAACCAGAGAACGGCAATAAAAGAATAAGCAACCCATTTTGATTATATTGGTTTGAAATCAAAGGCTCATATGCTTTTTAGAATAAGCTTCTTTATAAGGGAAGAAACAATGGAGATACATACAGAAATACCTCAATAGATAAGAAACAACGTGAAACAACCAAATCTGGAAAAAAAGAAAGATAACACCTACCCGTATGGTTAGATGTGCAAAGCAACTTCATATTCGCACTAAGAGGTATTTAGAACTTACCTGGCTAGTTTCATCATGCACCTGATACTTTGGCAAGGACATTCTTCTTTCCTCCTGCAAACATTTTATATTATTACCAAGCGCAAAAGGTTCACAACAATAAGAGAGGTGAAAAAAAATGCAACCTTAATACAAGTTTAGAAAGAACTAACCATGGACATAGCCTCATCATCCCAAACCAAATAAACCTCATTTGTGGCTGGTTGGGTAGCAGGAGCTTTGTTTGCAATTACAGGAGGCGGCCCAATTGAAGGACCACCAGTATTTGGGCCAGAGGCATAAGAATGTGAATTGCCTGCAATAACCAAATTGCACATCATGCACTAAAATTGCAATCACCATACAAATTCAAATAAAGGTTAACCATGCCCAAATTTGATGTACTATGCTATATAATACCTACAAATCATTCAGCATATGTCCCATAATGTAACTTAAAATTCAGTGGTGTTAATGTCATGGCAGGTTTGGACAGCAGTCACAGCACTTGCATATTAAGATTGCCAAAAATTCAAGTTGACCAATCTAACTAAATGCCTCATTTCTTTTTTCTTTTCTTTTTTTCTTCTATTATTAGTTTTTTTTTTTTTTTTTTTTGGCACTTGGAAACTGCTTTTTTTTTTTAATTAAATATTCATCAACTTGTTCAGTTTTCGACATGATCAATCAAACTTCTTGGACAGGTTACTCATATACCGGTCCATTCAAAGTAATTGCTATTGGTGCAGACCCTGTTGTTACCTTGTAACTTGGGGAAGTTAGACACAGAGAGAAAAGTAGACCTCAGTGAAGAAGAGTCATAAGAACCCCCACACCAACCCCATCCCCTCACCCTTTCTTTAAGGAAAGGTAAAAGGCCATCTTCCAATGCTGGATGTTGGGGCCTGGGAGGAGAACACCGGAAACAGTGTCCACCTTTATTAATATGTTGCACACAGTGAAGCGTTCTCATGCTTGTCAGCACAAGATTTTATCATACACTAAGCAATAGCTTACTTTTAAAAAGTAAGGGTAAAATAATAACTCGCACCGAAGCCCATGCATATAAGCAGGTATACTCACAAAAAACTATGTGCATATCTCACATCATCTCTACAGGAAAAGGGGGTGAAAATGCACGGACCTTGTGATAAAAATCTTAACCTTAACCTTAAACTTAACCTTGTGATTTCCGCTCCCTAAAAATACTTAACATAAGACAAAATATAGGCAGGTCTGAAACCTTTTCCACGCTCTGTTGAATACAAGAGCCTCACTCCAGATAGCCAGCATGTCCCTTACCCGTCATCACCCAAAAAGCACAAACAAGGAGGATAAGTGACATGCATCTCGAGCCAAGTCATAATGAAGGTGAAGAGGTTGACACTTCTCCAATCCTCTTGCACATAAAGCACCATCCACTATGATCTCCTTCCTTTTTCTTATATTATCAAATATTAAGAATGGCTTTCTTAGCAACCTCACACGCAAATAAAGTATACTACAAGAGATCTTTAGTGCATAGAAAGGCCACTTCATCACTTCCAAAGCTCCAACCAAGATACTACAGTAGGACCACACTGAGAACCTCTCATTTCAAACAAAATCCTTCACTTCCCCATGCAACTTCATCATATAACACAAGGGTGGAAATTCTTGTTAAAGGGTTGTATACGTGTCATGTCAAAATAAAAGTATTATGTTATATGGATCAATCCAAATGCGACCTGTTTATCAAACGGGACAAACACTCTTGAACAAACACAACTCATTTATTAAATAGATAACATTATACAACCCATGTAAACTGTTTAAGAAATGGATCTTATAACATGTAACGCGACATGACACGTTCAACAATCTATTTACTATTTTTTCTTAATTGTTAATTGTAAATATAAAACATAAAAATAAAATGTTGAATTTAGAACTATGGAATGACTAAATTTTTCATTTTATCACAATAATCACACAATTAACCAAAGGTTTCACTATAGTACCAAACTAAGGTGCTGTTTTCTAACCCAATTTAGCACTTAATTTTGAACATATTAAGTGCTTATTCAATTAAGTGTATTTGATATCGCAATTTGAATAACACCTTACAAAAATATTTGTCACTTAAAATAGGGTAAACTTTGAAGTGACAGTAAATCATTTATCACTGAATGTTGAACACATAAAATTCAAAAAACAAAATAAAAAATTGAAAATTTTCTCAAATTACAATTATCACTTAAAACTTAAACAATTGAAATTCAGCTCATAAAATTTTTAGTACTTAATTTTAGTTTTATCAAAAAAAAACACCGAACTTAAATATATTGCTTATTAAAAAAAATTGAAAAGGATCGTGGGTCCATTTGGGTTCACCAGACACAATTAGTTAAACAAGTCAAATCGAATTAAGCAGTACGAGTCTCCAAACCCGAACATCACACATTAATGAAACGGGTTAATCGAGTTGACAAGGACACCATTGACGCAAACCCAAACCCACTGGTTCCATGTTGGGTTCAAGCCATGTTAGCATGACATCAAATTTTGTCATCCTTATATAGCACCTCAAAAAGAATCAACTCCAGTTCTTAATCTTCAAAAGCCCGGGAAAACCCCCCAATTCCACAATATCCCATTCTTTAAAACAGAAACGTTTCATAACTGAAGCCTCTTTATCAACCGCCAAATTGAAAAGCTCAAGAACCTCTCTTGACGCGCTTAATATCCATGCCACTCATCATGCCATAGTTTGATGCACATTAGTGCTAGAACATACCAGCTCTAAATACTTATCAACGTCCCTATCCCATAGGAAAACTCACTAATCCTCGGTCTAATTCAAATTTAGATTCAATTACCCTCCACAAGAGTTATGTCCCCAGACCTTCATATCCACTTTTCTAAAATAACTCAATTGGAGGTCATCAATTATTTTAATCTCTAAGCCCCCACGGTGCATACTTCATTCCGCGCCACCAAATGATACTTGAAACCACCCCTGAAGCATCCCACCAAAAAATAAATAATTAAAAAATATCACTGGAACAACATTAATCTCCTTTTAGCTAAAGTTGGAATAGAGAACATAATAGATAAAAATAAGTAGGCAAACTCAAAAGTAAGCTCTTTATGAGAGTAAGACGTTTACCCTTGGCTTAAGGCTTAATCTTCCACCTAGGGGTGCAACTTGGGTGGGCCAACCAGACTTTTCATGTGCATAGGCAGCATATTCTTCAAAAGTCTGGGGGTCACATCTTGGTTGTAGATCACAATAAGTTGTGGATAATGCTAACACTTGCTGGTTTATATAGATGCTTAACATAATTTATATATTTGTTATCAAGTATTCTAAAATAAATTGGCAAGGATCTGGGAATAAATTGCTTAAACGAGTACCTTGATCTATATTGGTGTCACTTGAGAAATCAGGTTAGCTAAGGGCATATTCAAACAATCCACTAAGAAAGAAAGCGGGAGGAGAGAGTGAGTGAGTTCACTTTTAGTCCTTAAAACCTATGTTACATGAACTCTTCAAAAAGTAGGTGAAGTACCCATGTCTGACACATTATTCAGACATGGGAATGGGATACGTGTCATGCACCCAAAAAAAAACTACCCAATAATTCCATTTTATTACATTATTACTCCAAATGAGTAAAAGCCTATATTGGATACTATGTTACATAAAAACATTTTTTTTACTCTAAAAATAAAATAATATATTAAATAAAATGAATATTTAGCAGTCCATGTATCCTTTTGTTTGGGGATTTCACATACAAACAAGTGGATACATACCCATACCCGACACACGAACCCAAGTCCATGAAGAAAAAAAAAAATGCATAAATCAAATCGAATTTCAGATGAGTTGGTTTGGTTTTATTCAAAGGGTCGATGGATTGGTTGAGTCCAGAGACATAAATACTGAACCTACATTGATTATGTTTAATGGTGAGGAAAACTGAACTACATGGGACTGACTTGCAATCTCCCACCCCCCAAAAAATGCAACTCTATTGCAACAATGGCCATTTGCATGCAATGAAGCTAGTGCGTGAGACAATCAGTGCAACCAATAACACAAAAGTTTGGTCTTTAATCAAATTTCATTAAACATGATTTCAACATAATTCATTTCAACATTCATAGCGATTTTCATGTCCTAAAAAATACTGGACATTATTTCAGCACCAAACGAGACCAAAAAATGATAGCAAACACAAATTTTAAAAACTTCATGGAGCAAACAATAATGAGAAAAAGAATCAAACCTTGAATGCTTGGGTTGTGGTAGCTACTTGTCACAGAAGTGTTGTTGGTATGGAGGTCAATTGGGCTTCTGAGTTCCGCTGGACTGCTTAATGGAATACTTGTAGAAAGCATAGGGGCCGAAAATGGTGAATTTTGACTAGGTATACTATTATTAGCAACGACAGGGAACAATGGTTGAGATATAGGAACAGAAGGTGTAGACGAGGGCAGTCCTGGAGGAGCGATTGGCAAGGATGGTTGAAGGGCAGGTGATGCAGTAGATGGTGTAAGAGGTCTCATATTCTGTACTGGAAATAAAGGCTGTTGTGGCAGACCAAGTGGCATGGGAGGAGGAATTGAAGCAACTGGTTGATGTGGGAACCAATGTTGGGGACGAGGAGGAACTGGCCAACCAGCAGGAGGCATTGGTAACGCAGGATTATAACTGCAACCAAGAATAAATCCAGTAAGAACTAGATCAAGTGTTTTGATTCAACAGTGCAATATATATAGAACGACATTTGCACATAGATGAGAAGAAGACATATTCAAAACGCAGCCACAATGAACTGGTCAATACAACTAGTAGGATAAACAATAATCTAGAATTCTGGAAGACTTTGGCACCAGGTACCAACTATTCTGAAAGACAATGAGGTTATTTCGAATTAAAATATTAAAACAGATGATCAAGTATGGCTAGTAGATCCAGAACGTTTTTTGTTAGGAGATCCATGAAAAATCCTAAGCAATATCATAAAATACTTCTTTTCTGATGCAAAGCAAACTCATGAAAGAAGTGCATCAACACTATCATAAGCTGTGCATCACTACCAATGCAATTATAAAGTATTTGTGTAACATGAGATGAATGAAATACACGGCCGATGCTATTGGAAGAGGCATACCAATAGATTAATACAATAAAAAGAATGCATTTAACCGAATTTCAGCGTCACCTTTTCTGAAACACCAGGAGCAGAACAAGTGCAAGCAGGAATAACTTAAAACAAAAATCTGACAGAAAACATACATTGGCCGCGTAATGCCTAAAGTTGATTGAGGAGGAAACATGCCTAATGATCCTGGTGCCACACCACCAAGAAGTTGGGAGGAAGGTGTCTCCACTTTGGCCAATTTTGATGGGGCATCCTCATCTGCAAGAAAAATAACAGTCAGTTTAGATCATTAGCAGCATAAGATCCACAAGAAGTACAGCATCTATAGAATGTCTCATCACTGCTCCTGGAAAAGACTAGTAAGTTGCATCAATTTCAGACTCAGTTACGATTACATCAAAAAGGAACATGCAAAGAGCCACGAGTACCATTCCGTTAGTGGTTTCTTGGTGCACCTATTAGAAAATAAGACTAAACATACATGCACTATAGAATAGTGACATGTGATCCACTTGTTAACTACACAGCAAAATAAAATAAATAAATAAAATATAACGTCAAATGTATCTTCCCACAAAAAAATACACATTACATGCATAAGCATTATCCCACCAAATAGACACATGCACCATAGGTTCCTAGGCATGGCTAGGTGTCAAACCCGTCTAATCCCTAAAACTTAGAACACAGCAACACAAGTAGATTATCACCATGCCAACCTTTCTTCATTAGATTAGAATAAAATAAATTGTGTCTGATGCTTTCCAGACATAGTAATTGCAAACAATTTTTAGTATCCATGCAATACAATCTTGTGAATAACTCCTTTATTTAACATTCTCATCAAGGGAATGTATTACAGTATATACGTCCGACATTACCATATCCATATCCCATACCCATGTCAATGATGCCATGTCATGTCCAAGACGGGTCATCCACACATTTTAATATCCATGTTACATGGGCTAGATGCACATATTCAGTAACGAAATGCTCTCTCAACTGCTGATGATAAATCTTACCTAATACAGAAAACTAATTCTGTTGTGGTCCCATTATGCTGCTAAACAGAATCAAGTCTAATGGAACTGCCAAGTTTCAATGTCCATTGACAAAAAGGAATTATGGAAATATCTTTAAGGTCTATCTGCCTTCAGTCAAAATAAACCCACAAGATTATAATTTCTTCTTCATCAACCAAATTGTCAAATTTCCCGATGCAATTTTATTCACATTTTTTTCTCATTCCTGCTAGGTTGTTCAAGAGATTGAAGCAATGCACAGAGATGCCAAATGGGTACTAAAACATTGTTAATTTAGCTTTCATTTGGTGATACACAGAAAGGATCACAAACTACAGAAAGATGAAAGTTCTCTCAAATTAAGGCCTCTAAAATCCTTGAATGTGGCTCTTCTGGGTAAATGGTTATGGAGTTTCTGCAATGAAACCAACAAGTACATAGTAGCTAAATATAGGGTTGATGATTTGTGAACTGGACGATGTAGTCATCCCACAGCTGTGGCTTATGAAATCTTCTTAGGTAATGTGTGGTGCAATTCAACTCCTCACCAGGACACTTACCCACACCTCTATAATAAAAATGTCAGCAAGCAACAATCACAGGATATCAAAAATAATTAGTGATGTTGTCTCCCTCGTAAAATAGAAGTCTACAAGATTTGGAAACCACCTTTCTCCGGAGCGAGCTTGGGTCAAGCAGGTGTAACTTAAAAAGAAGAACCTTGGATTAAGTATCAACATTTCATCAGAGCCCGCAGCCCAGCCCAAGACCACCAAGCAAGCCAACATGGCTCAAGCCCAACAAGGTAACGAGCGGGCCTGGACTTGAGGTGCCATCATGCGAGGCCCATTGGACCAGCCAAACACACACAATTGACGACCCACAAGCCCAGCCCAATAGACCCAAAAATTCAAACCAAAAAAAAAAAAAAGAGAGGCAAAAACTTATATATTCTGATTTGTGGTATTGAACTCTATTACCCATAACAAAAAATTTCTTTTTCTTTGTGGGGCAAAACCTTCAGACGGTCATAAATTCGTGCTCTTTTGTCCAATTTTGATCACTTTTTTTTTTTTTTTTAAGTATAATTTTTTTTTCAAAAAAGTTTAAACTCAAGGTTATATAAAGGGAGACGAGGTTCAGATCAGGTCAACCATCTCAGCTCTAAGATGATCAGTCTATGACAGCCCACTCATTAAGGGAGATTCTATGCTACCCTTTCAACACCAAAAAAAAATAAGCTTACAAATTATTGTTAAGTACGAAAAATTATAAAATTGTCGAAGTACACCCTTTTTTGAAGGTATCAATAGATATTTCTAAAAAAACTTAATCAACCACATAATGCTTACAAATTTAGGTGAGTAACCAGCCTCAAGCTGATTATAATCAGGTTGAACAAAAACCACTAAATTTTGAGGGCACACAGGTTAGGTCAAATTTATTCAACTAAACTCCAAATGGTGATTTCACAGTCCTTCCACAATACAGATGAACTTGACAGTGCAAACAAAGAATTCTAGGATAAGAACCAGATTTTGAGATATAAAGAAAATTAGCAATTTAGAAAATGATCTATCTAACCCAATAATTTTTTATATTCCTGCAATTAGAAAGCAACCAAAGGAAACATATTAAAAAAAAAAAAAAAAAATTAGTTAGTTCAAAATAAGGACAATGCATAACCAGACATACAGACACAAGACACAGTAAGGAACACAAACTGACAGAATGACAGATACACAAGGACCATACCTTCCTCTCCATAATGAGATGCCATGACGTCAGCTGGTATTCCTTGCATTCCATATATTTCAATTTCTGTTGATTCTCTACCAGGTTTTGCATTTGGCACCCTGTTAAAATCACCTTAAATCAGCACAACACAAAAATTGCCATGGAACAGCAAAACGATTTTGAAGAATCTTTAGAACCGAAGCAATGTACTTTTTATCCTAATATTAATTGTACCAACTACAAAAGAGAACGAAAAAGAACAGTGAAATGATTTTCTCAAAAAGATTTAAAGGAAAAAGAAAATGATTAGCAGAAAGAAAAACCACCTGCAGCCAGAACACTGGGAGATCTAAAGGTAAAGCAACCTATATGCGGACAATATGCAACCTATAATTGGCCAAGCAGACAGCAATGTAATTTCACAATCATTTTTCATTTCATAATTCAGTCATTATATCGATTGTTCTTAGTCTATCAGATTACTAACTTTTAAGTCACTAGCAAGAAGGCAAAGGGTATCATATCCTCATATAATGGCATACCAGTGGAGGTTCCAGCTGTTCTGAAAATTTCAGTTGATTTGTTCAGTTTTAAGATGTTTCAACTGTACTAATATGATTCAAAGAGAAAATTCAACCACACTCCAACTGTCAAGACCCAGCCCACGTTGTATAGATACTATCCATGCTCACAGTTTTCAAAATGCGTCAACACATTTAGGAGGCATCCACACATATAAGTGCTAGCAACTTCTCCCCCCAAGCGATGTGGGATGTCACAATCACCTCTTGGAACCCAATGTCCTCGCTGACCTAACCCTCATAGGATCGTGCACGCTCCCCCCATTTCCAACTGGGGATTGGCTCTAATACCATTTGTCAAGACCCGGACCACGCTATCTAGATATTTTCCAATTTACACGCTCCCCGTGCTCACGGTTTTCAAAATGCGTCTACACAGTTAGGAAGCATCCACATATATAAGTGCCAGCAATTTCTCCCCCCAAGGCGATGTGGGACGTCACACAACCTAAGTTCAACTTAATATTGTTTAAAATTGACCAACCAGCGCATTTCCTAATTCTGTATAAAGGATAAACAAAAATATTTAGAAAAACAAATGAAAGGGAAATAGCGAGAATCCAAGTACATGTTACATACATTATATACCAAAGGCAAAGGAAAAAGGAAATCCTATCACAACCCAACCAAAGATATAATATATAAACATATATGTATTATATACAGAAACGCCCAAAAATATTATTACCGCCATTAAAACCCACATTTGAGCACATGAAAAACGTAGACCCGAAGAGACTTCCAAGAAGGATATTCTTCATCTGAGAAGGTTCTTCTATTCCATTCTCAAGATCTACCCAAAAAAATGAAATGAGGTGTAACCTACGAAGCTCTGAATTGGCTAAATTCCCCACTCCACTGAACAAAACCTAACTATATCGATCACCTATATTGGGATAAGTTAATTTTACACAAAAGTATATACACGAGACCCCAAATCATATTAGTCAAAGGGAAAGGAAGATTATTACACCAAAGATGTATGTTATATTTTTATCTCAGCAAAGGATGACTCAACAAAAAAAACTTGAACAGGTAAAAGAAAATGATGACACTTAAAAGACCATCCTAAATGAGTCATCTCACCCGAGAAGTTATAGTGTCAAGGCAAGAGACCAAGTTAACTCATCAAAATAAGACATGACAACATAATGCAACTCAAAACAGAGCAATCATTTTTAAGTGCAGATAAAGCACTCATTATGAGCAATACTCACTATTGGTCACTCGGAACAATCCACAAGAGCTTATAACATCTTTTATCACCTCATTTGAAGAAACTGGATCTTATAGTATATGTGTAACTCACTAGCCATATTTTGGAGAAGTAATTTGACCTTGTTGGAGATCGTATTGGAACTCTTTTTCTTTATTCTTTTTCTTTTTTTTTTTGGATTTTTTTAGCTTGAACTAGGAAGAAGTTCAGTGACGGATCCAGGAATTTATTTCGGGGACATATTGAACATGATAAAGTATTTTTTTTCCCAACAAACATTTTTTTTTTATAAGTATTTGTTTCCAACTAACATGACAATTAAAAATGCACTAAGACAGCAAGTCAAAAAATACAAGTGCAATAATCAAGATTCAAATATTATGAAATTTTAAGAAGAGTTAAAAATAAAAGCAGAAAAAGAAAAATGAGAGAAATTTTAAGAAGAGTTAAAAATAAAAGCAGAAACATAGGGTTTGATTGAAGGAGAATACAATATTTTTTTTAAGAGCATTAAAGGAAAAAAAAGAAGAAGAAAAGTAAAAGCGAAAAGAAAGAAAGAATTAGAGAGATTTTTATAAAATAGAAAAGGGTTCATTTTGTAAAATTTCATAAAATATAAGTTAAAGAAAGTTAATACCAACAGGCCAGTGGCCTAGCGGTACCAAACCCTTACTTCTCAAAGAGATGTCAAGGGTTCGAGCCTCAGTAGAGGCATGTGTGTGCGAGTACCAACTATAAGAAAAAAAAAAATAAGTTAAAAAAAGTTCGCAGGCGCGAGAACCATGGCTGGTGGTTTTGGGAACTGCTTAGTCACAAAATAGTTCCTTTTTTTTAGCTGCTTTTCAATTTGAATTGAGCAAAAAATTGGTTGTAAGGAAGTTGGATCAAAGATGGTTATTGGAATATTAGTAAAAATAGTTACTTTCTTCTTTGTATTTGTTTTCAATATACTTTATGAATTTTGTCCCACCAAAAAATTATTAAAGTTATCATATAACATATTAGCATGAACTTTAGATACTTCGGCACACCACTAACTTCCAAGCACATTCCATGGCTGGATTTGAAATTTTCCAAAGAAAAACTCTAATATTTCAACTATTTCCCTCTCTCAAACCTTTTTTGTTTATTTTAATCTTTTCCCTTTCAAAGGTTTTAACCTAGATCTAACATGAAAGTGTTTTTTGACACTAGACCTATAAACTTTGTTTGATAGTCACATGTTACAACTTACAACTTCCATTATAGGACACTAGCGTGTATATAATGTTCTTTTATTTGGTCATTTTTATTCATATTCTATCAATGTACACTTAAGAGTCATGAAATTCAGTGAAAATTATAAATTAGTAAGTTTTCATTGCTAACAATGATTTTAAAATACAATATATATGTTGTTACTCATTAGGGGTCACCTTTATATATCCATCAAAAAAATCCGCTATAAATATTACAAACCTATATTTATCAAACTTCAGAGTTAAAAAAATTGTATTAGTCTGAGCTAGGTCAAAAAATTTCAAAACCGCGGAATGCAATACCACTATGCAGCGCCTGTTACATCCCACATCAATTACACCTTGACCACATTAGCTTCTAAGCCATAACACCTATAACCCAATTTTCATACATCACGGGCCAATATCTCACAAGGTTAGAAAAGTAACAAAGGTGATGTAGTGGAGGCTACACCTGGGGTAACTACCCTAACAGATCTCCGCCATATGACTTAATTTACTTTTTGACCATCAAGTAAATCAGTAAACGTGCTCTCCTGTTTTACATATTTGTAGACAAACAAAGATAAACGAACAATAAGATACCAATGCTTCAGACTCTGGTCAACTATGAATGTGAACCCCAGATTAGCCAATAGGCACTCAATTATGTGATGATGCCTCCCCATATAGCTCATCAATATCCTAAGTAATGCATCATGCAAGCACCAATAGCCGGGAAACATCGTGCAAATGCCCAAGCACCAAAAGGTGCACATTGTTGGACAAATGGTGATACATTTTCCTCTCTCAGTTACTCAGTCGGGAAAAAATTTGGACAAAAGGTGATACCATGACAATTTTTAGTTTGTAAAAGAGTTGACACTGCCATATTCCACAGGCATAAAACATAATTCACGATTATTGCCTCGAAATTGTCATTAGGAAGGTGGCGCCCAACTTTTCACCTTCCTAGATTGGTTGCATAGATTAAAAGCATGTGTGTTCGGTTGGAAGAAACCCTTGGTTCTGTTTTCACCATTCTTAACCACCAAGTGTTACAACGAAGATTCTCCAAACATTCTATGTAATGTTAAGAAACACTTATCCAGTCACATTAACGATGAGCAACACATGTGAAATACCAATGAGATCAACAATCGCAAGACCTCCAAATGCACATAGATCAAAGCACCAAATATTTCCTCAATTGAAAACACCCAACTGATGTCACCAGCGAATGGGTATTGGGTACCCGCGGTACCTATAATATAGTACCCTGGCCAATGAAAAATTGTCCTTTCCAACACCAGCATAACTATACACAAACTCGGCCCCCCTTAAATATTCAGAAACGGGCAAACAAGTAGATTTTCATCCCATCTTCACATTATATCAACATCATACATCACAAATCCCTCTTCCAGGATACCAGTAGAACAATTACAAGACTATGATCTAGTTTTATGAAGTCTGGCAAACAAGTAACTTTGATACTATTTTTTTCAGGATTTCATGACGATACATCAATACACAAAAAGAGATAATCAACAACAACAAAAACTTATACCGTCAAACTATCACTATTCTCTAGACTGATACAAACATGCTATGATGGTTCCTCAAGGGCACCAAGGAATGAGACTATTTAGCCCTGTTCATTTGAGGGTTTTGTAAGAAGATCTTTCTTTTCTCAAATATATATATAAAGAGATAACTGTATAACAAAATTAACTTATCTTACGTCACAATTTTCCAAATCTTCACTAGGACAAATCAGTCCTCTTTGTTTCATGAAAAGTTTTTTCCTGACAAAAAAAGACTAATTTGAGTCGAAAAAAATATTTAGCCATACTCTTCGAAACAAACAGAAATAAATATAACTATCAAAACTTCGAAATTGTGATTGTAAATTTCAGGCAATAGATATATATAACAGTAACATATATACCTATATGTATATATATAAACACAAATATGTATGGAGAGAGGGAACAGGGGAATACTTGGCGACGGTCTCTTTGTGAACCTGGAGGACGTGGATAGCCATGCCACCGGCGGTGGAGAGCTTCTTGTGACAGACATGGCACTTGAAGTGCTTGGCTTTCTGGTGTTGCACCAATATCTTCTCGTCGTCGAACTCTCTGTCGCAGTAATAGCACCACACCTTCGATGACGCTCTCTTCTTCTTCTTCCCCATTCTCTCTTTCCCACTCTCTCGCGAATCTACAAAACTAGGGTTTCACTTCCTTTCCCTTGATTCTGTTTCTTCGGTCACCGAGACGACATGTTAGGGCTTTTTCTGTCACAAGAAGGTCCTCTTCCAAAAAAATATTGGGGGGTTTTAGGTTAAACTTAAAATTGACTCATTGTATAGTACTCGCCGCTTGTGGTTTGCGGATCGTATGGCTAATTGTACTTTAAATTTTTTCTTTCTTTCTTTCTTTCTTCCTTTTTTTATTTATATATATATATATATATATCAGGGTATTTAGGACTATTTATTTATTTATTATTATTTTTCAATATTTAGGACTATTATTTTATTTATTATTATTTTTCAATATTACTAATGAGCAAGGACAAAATCACATAGTAATGGAGGGAAAAATTAGGTGTGTATGTAGTAAAAAAAAAAAAAATAGGATTAATTCTACCTACATTCTCTCACCTTTGACTATTTCCCACCTACACCCACTCTAGGTTTAAATATTCCACGCACATTCCCTAACCTGTAATCATACGTAGCAAGTTACCCCCTATCGTTAAGCAGCTAACAATGTGTGCTGATGTCTGCCTGAGAAATTTGTTAGAAGGTCAATTTTACCCTTTTAATGGCTAAAATGACATCTTTAACCACGATGACCAATACAGAATTACAAAACTACCATTAATTTGTTAACTCCCTTAATTTCACTTAAAACAAACATATATATATATATATATATATATATATATATATATTCATATATCGTCTTCCTCTTATATGATTCTCTCTCCTCTTGCCTCCCCTTCTCCTTCATCACCACACCCAACCACCCACCGTGGCACTTCACCGCCTACTATTACACCAACCACTCAACCGAAATCGTTGCACACCTCATCGCAGCACCGCCAACATCCTGCATCATCATTACCGCATGGGACTAATTAAGGATACAAATTACTCTTAATTAGTTTCATTTGACTAATTGAGGACAAATTTATTAAAAGATACAAATTACTCTTAATTATTAAAAGATATAAATTACTCTTAATGATTAAAAGATACAAACTCCTACAATTTATTCAAAGATACAAATTACTCTTAATTATTCTCATTTGACTAATTGAGGACTAACTGAAGTTAAAGGTATACAGGGTAGAGCCGGTGTGTGCTCAATAAGCACATACTCCAGGGTGGAGTTAAAGGATGGTAATTTTTTTCGACTCGACAAATTTCTACCCCGTCCCGTCTTGCCTTAATGGAACAGATTTAGTAACCCCTAAAGAAGTTTGGGGCGAGTATGGTAAAATAATTGAAAATTTTAAATGGGTTTGGGGCGGAGGCAGATTTAGTGATAAAATCGCTCTGCCTCGCTCCCACTCAGATTATATATATATGTATCTTTAAAAAAAAAAATTTATATATATATATATATATATATATATATATATATTTATAAAATATTTTAACACCTTTATTACTTTGCTGGAATTGTTAATTAATATATATTAATATTCACTACTTAGTAATTTAAAAGTTGAGACAACTTATTTATCAACCCCTTTTTTTTTCTTTTTTTTTTTACTAAATAATAAAAGTGACATAACATGTCCTGCCTCGTCCTTGCCCCGCAATTAAATGGAATATGCACAGCAGGGTCGGTACTTTGTCTGCAAGAGTAGGGAAGGGGATGTATAAAAATTACAAACCCGTCCCGGAGTGGGGACGAAGTTGGTATGACAAATTTTCTAATAGAGTGGACTAGGGTTTAGCCAAACCTGCTCCAACTCCCCCCGGTTGCCATCCCTACGCTCATTACTATGTACAGTTATTTTTTAGTTTATTTTTACATATATATGAAATTATCTTTTCTTTTTTTTTCTTAATTTGTACAATTGATATTCATTATGTTAGTTAAATTTTTTTTTTTTTACACGGCACCCCTGGACTGAAATATAGACTCCGCCGTGAAGGTATGATATAAAATTACACAAAAACCATTGATAACTAACTTAAAGTAAATAAATAATTAATTAAAGTAACAAATGCATCATCCCTATAATTCATGGTCAAGAATCAGCTGCTACAACACACCATCACACCCATAACTCAATTCCCAATTAACCAATTAATCGTAGCATCAATCAATTGTAACACGTCAATGAGAAAAAATAAGTGAATTCCATTAATAATTACATTTGTATTTTCCCTTTGTTTCTACCCCAAGTAAATAACTATGAGAATGATAAAAAAGGAATTAAGAAGAATGTATATAAATACTTGGGGACCAACAGTAGACAAAGAAAACATCCGTGAAACAAGACAAACCATAGCCCAAATGCAGCATACAATAAACCTAGTGTTGACACCCATTTTGGTAATTGGGCTTGGACTGCAATTGGGCTGAAGAATATTGCAAGTGGACTGGAAATATAGCGACATGGCAAAGGCTTGGATGCTGAGAAGAAATTCGGCTTGGTATATGGGCCGATTGTATGGTTGGGCTTTTGGCTGAAGGAAACGTTATGCAGACCCACATGGAATATAAATTGCATGCAAAGATATATTTTGAATTTAGATAATGGATAAGGATTGTAATTTTAGTTTTTATCTTTTAGTTAAGTGCAGTTAAGTATTAAGGTTATCAGTAATTTAGTTTAATTTGAACTTATAGTTAGTTGGATTATCTATAGGATTAGCTTATTTTGAAATTAGTAATTAGTTATTTGATAGAGTTTGATGTATTTAGAATGCTTATGTATAGGAGTTTGTTTTATGAATTATTCTATAAATAATCAAAGAGATATGCTGAGATGAAGGTCCAGCACCATCAGAATCTTTAATTTATTTGTTTGCTTTCTAAAGCCTTTCCTAGAATAGCATCCTTGCTATTTTTTCTCTATCTCTCTCTCTCACTATCTCGTTCTATCTCTCTCCCTCTTTCAATCTTTCTCTATTTATTCTTTCTATATCTATTTCTCCCTTTTTCTATTCTCTCAATTGTTACTATAAATTATTCATTGTAAAGTCCTTTTAATTAAGGCAATTCTTAAACTCAAAGAGGAGTTTTACTATTCCATTTTTTCCTCGGTTAGTCTGAAAGTCAACCTTCTCAAAGGGACTAAAGTTGACTATTTACACTTGAACCATATAATTGGTTCTGGCACTCCCGTTTTACATCAATTTAAAATCGGCTCCAGCCGGCCGATTTTAGCGTAAACATTCTTGGCACACCCGGTGGGACCCCACTAGGTGAATAATTTATTTACAATAAAGATGCCTTCCAAGAGGAATTCAAAGAATACTAATTCAAACGAGGAAGAGGAAGAGGAAGTCCAGCCAACTGTCCAAGCCGGATCCCATACAGCAGGAGCTTCCTTCCCATCGGATGTTGCACTCATACAAATACTTGAATCCATTCGGCAGGGAATGGAAAACCAGGGGCCCGTTTGGGGGCTCGCATAGATGGGATGGGTGTAACAGTGAATACTCGCATTGAATGGATGGATAAAAAAATGGATGCAGTATCAAATCAACTATCGGTTGTCCAAAGCTGATCTGATCAGGCCGAAGCTTCAAATGTGCATGAGTCATTGGTTCGTCATATTTCTTCATCAAAAGTGATTATTCCTGAAGAACCAAGGACAACAATGACGGGAGTTATACAGCTAAATCCAACTCTCGGCATGCCCATCAGCATGATGCCAACTCTAGCACTCGGTATCACAATCGGCAATGTGCCGAACCAAACTCTCAACATGCCGATTAGTAATCCACCGATATTATCAGATCTGCCAACAATAACTATTATGCCAGTGTATCAACCGCCAATAAATCATCAACAAAATCAAAATGTGCAACCACCACCAATGCAACCGAATCTTCCTGTAAGAGGTCAGCAAGAGATAGGCAATCTAAACCAAGGTAGGTTTAATCCAATAATACCAACGGCGGCTGCCGAGGGGCATGTAAATGCAGATCCACAACGAGAATGGGTTAATCTATTTGCTCCACCTCACCCGAATGACCCTCCAGACCACAATGTGGGGATCGACAAGGCTCAAATTTTAGCCTTAATTCAAGCCTAGGTGGTATAGGGACGCCAATGTCCTCGGCCAATATATAGGAAGCCGTATCCTGATCATATCGATGCTCATGAATTACCCAGAAATTATCGGTATCTCGATTTTTTTATATACAATGGATAGGAAAACTTTTCTACAATACAGCATATTGCAAGGTTCACAGCACAATGTGGCGAAGCAAGTCTTAATCCTTTGCTAAGGATGAGGTTATTTTCTAGTTCCCTTGTTGGGGCAGCATTTGAGTGGTACAACAATTTGCCAGCTAACTCTATTCGAACGTGGGATGAGATGGAAGAAGCTTTTCATACTCAGTTCTACCAAACAGAAACAAAAGCTACGTTGGCAGATATATCCCAATTATCATAGTTACCAAGCGAATCGGTTGAAACTTTTGTGGCCAGGTTCAGAAAAGCCAAACTCAAATGTCGAGTAAGTCTGCCGGAACCAGAATATATCAAGTTGGCATTAAATGGTTTGGACATTGAACACTGCAAGAGGTTTGATGGGGTTGAATTTCAAGATCTCTTTGATTTAGCAGACAGAGCCACTCGGTATGAGGAGATACTTAAAGAAGAGAAAGAAATGAAGAATTCCTCTAAGGGTACCTATTATAAGGACCCTAATTATGAGGTATTCTCGGCTGAAATTGGAGATGAATTAGAAGTTGAAGTTGCTGAGGTCACTATCAAGAAACCATACATATGTGAGGCGTTAATTAAACCTAAGCCGACCACGGGGGGCAATGCAACATCAACATCGGCAGCAAGGAAAGGAGCTACTGATACTGGAAAAAGCTACTCTTTTGACTTATCAAAAATAGATCAAATCTTTGATCATTTGATGGCCGATAAAATGGTATCTTTGCCTAAGGGGCATAAGATTCCATCGGCAAGTGACCTGAAAGGAAAAGAGTATTATAAGTATTATAATTCTTGGAACCATGCTACTAATGATTGTACTGTTCTGTGAGGTGTATTGCAGAAAGCTATTGATGAAGGTATTTTAAAATTCCCGGAGAAAACTTTAAACACTATGAAGGTGATACCAATCCATTCCCTACAATCACATTTACTAATGTGATAAGCTTAGCCAAGTGAGAGAATCAGCAGG